GAGAAATGACCCAAATCAACAAAATCATGAATGAAAGAGGAGAGATCACAACCAACACCAAAGAAATACAAACAATTATAAGAACATATTATGAGCAACTCTATGCCAGCAAATTAGATAACCTGGAAGAAATGGGTGCATTCCTAGAGATGTATCAACTACCACAACTGAACCAGGAAGAAACAGAAAACCTGAACAGACCTATAACCACTAAGGAAATTGAAGCAGTCATCAAAAATCTCCCAACAAACAAAAGCCCAGGGCCAGATGGCTTCCCAGGGGAATCCTATCAGACAATTAAAGAAGAATTAATACCTATTCTCCTGAAACTGTTCCAAAAAATAGAAATGGAAGGAAAACTTCCAAACTCATTTTATGAGGCCAGCATTACCTTGATCCCAAAACCAAAGACCCCATCAAAAAGGAGAATTACAGACCAATATCCTTGATGAACATGGATGCAAATAGTCTCACGAAAATACTAGCCAATAGGAACCAACAGTACATTAAAAGGATTATTCACCACGACCAAGTGGGATTTATTCCTGGGCTGCAAGGATGGTTCAACATCCGCAAATCAATCAACGTGATACAATACATTAACAAAGGAAAGAACAAGAATCATATGATCCTCTCAATAATGCAGAAAAAGCATTTGACAAAGTACAGCATCCTCTCTTGATCAAAACTCTTCAGAGTATAGGCATAGAGGGTACATACCTCAATATCATAAAAGCCCTCTATGAAAAACCTACAGCAAATATCATTCTCAATGGGGAAAAGCTCTCCCCCTGAGGTCAGGAACGTGGCAGGGATGTCCACTCTCACCACTGCTATTCAACATAGTATTAGAAGTCCTAGACACAGCAATCAGACAACAAAAAGAAATCAAAGGCATCCAAATCGGCAAAGAGGAAGTCAAACTCTCACTCTTTGCAGATGATATGATATTGCATGTGGAAAACCGAAAAGACTCCACCCCAAAACTGCTAGAACTCATACAGGAATTCAGACAAGTAGCAGGATATAAAATCAATGCACAGAAATCAGTGGCATTCCTATAGACCAACAACAAGACAGAAGAGAGAGAAATTAAGGAGACTATCCCATTTACAATTGCACCCAAAACCATAAGATACCTAGGAATAAATGTAACCAAAGAGGCAAAGGATCTGTACTCAGAAAACTATAAAATACTCATGAAAGAAATTGAAGAAGGCACAAAGAAATGGAAAAACGTTCCATGCTCATGGATTGGGAGAACCAAAATGTGAAGATGTCAGTGCTACCTAGAGCAATCTACACATTCAATGCAATCCCCATCAAAATACCATCCACCTTTTTCAAAGAAATGGAACAAATAATCCTAAAATTTGTATGGAACCAGAAGAGACCCCGAATAGCCAGAGGAATATTGAAAAAGAAAAGCAAAGCTGGCGGCATCACAATTCCGGACTTCCAGCTCTATTACAAAGCTGTCATCATCAAGACAGTATGGTACTGGCACAAAAACAGACACATAGATCAATGCAACAGAATCGAGAGCCCAGAAATGGACCCTCAACTCTATGGTCAACTCATCTTTGACAAAGCAGGAAAGAATGTCCAATGGCAAAAAGACAGTCTCTTCAACAAATGGTGTTGGGAAAATTGGACAGCCACATGCAGAAGAATGAAATTGGACCATTTCCTTACACCACACACAAAAATAGGCTCCAAATGTTTGAAAGACCTAAATGTGAGACAGGAGTCCATCAAAATCCTAAAGGAGAACACAGGTAGCAACCTCTTCGACCTCAGCCACAGCAACTTCTTCCTAGAAACATCGCCTAAGGCAAGGGAAGCCAGGGCAAAAATGAACTCTTGGGATTTCATCAAGATAAAAAGCTTTTGCACAGCCAAAGAAACAGTCGACAAAACCAAAAGACAACCGACAGAATGGGAGAAAATATTTGCAAATGACATATCAGATGAAGGGCTAGTATCCAAAATCTATAAAGAACTTATCAAACTCAACACCCAAAGAACAAATAATCCAATCAAGAAATGGGCAGAAGACATGAAAAGACATTTTTCCAAGGAAGACATCCAAATGGGCAACAGACACATGAAAAAGTGCTCAACATCCCTCGGCATCAGGGAAATCCAAATCAAAACCTCAATGAGATACCACCTCACACCAGTCAGAATGGCTAAAATTAACAAGTCAGGAAACGACAGATGTTGGCAGGGATGTGGAGAAAGGGGAACCCTCCTACACTGTTGGTGGGAATGCAAGCTGGTGCAGCCACTCTGGAAAACAGTATGGAGGTTCCTCAAACAGTTGAAAATAGAGCTACCATCCGATCCAGCATTGCACTACTGGGTATTTACCCCAAAGATACAAATGTAGGGATCCGGAGGGGTACGTGCACCCCAATGTTTATAGCAGCAATGTCCACAATAGCCAAACTGTGGAAAGAGCCAAGATGTCCATCGACAGATGAATGGATAAAGAAGAGGTGGTATATATACACAATGGAATATTATGCAGCCATCAAAGGAAATGAGATCTTGCCATTTGCAAGGACATGGTTTGAACTGGAGGGTGTTATGCTGAGTGAAATAAGTCAATCAGAGAAAGACATGTATCATATGACCTCACTGATACGAGGAATTCTTAATCTCAGGAAACAAACTGAGGGTTGCTGGAGTGGTGGGGGGTGGGAAGGATCGGTGCCCGGGTGATAGACATTGGGTAGGGTATGTGCTATGGTGAGCGCTGTGAATTGTGCAAGACTGTTGAATCACAGATCTGTACTTCTGAAACAATAATGCAACATATGTTAAGAAAAAAGAAAAAGAAGAAGATAGCAGGAGGGGAAGAATGAAGGGGAGTAAGTCGGAGGGGGAGACGAACCATGAGAGACGATGGACTCTGAAAACCAAACTGAGGGTTCTAGAGGGGAGAGGCGTAGGGGGATGGGTTAGCCTGGTGATGGGTATTAAAGAGGGCACATTCTGCTGGGGCACTGGTTGTTATGCACAAACAATGAATCATGGAACACTACATGAAAAACTAATGATGTAATATATGGTGATTAACATAACAATAAAAAATTTAAAAATAATCTAAAGCCATGGTCAGCATTTATAGGATCATGGATTTCTGGGTGTCCTGAGAGATAGCCCAGGATTTCGAGACTGGGACAGAATGTCATAGACTCAGCGATGATGGAGGTGTCCTGAGTCTTTCATAGCTGGTAAGGGGGTAACAGTGACCCCAAATCTACTCAGAAATTGTGGTAGCTCAGGACACCAAATTTCTTTCCCCAGGAATGAGTGTCCTTGGAAGGGAGTTTTTCCTGGTCTTATTTTTTTTCCTATTTATTTATTTATTTATTTATTCATTTATTTTTGAGAGGGAGAGGGAGAGAGAGAATCTTAAGCCAGCTCCACTCCTAGCTTGGGGCCCAATACAGGGCTCCATCCCACAACCTTGAGATCATGACCTGAGCCAAAATCAAGTGTCACATGCTTAACCGCCTGAGCCACCCAGGAGCCCCTGGTCTTATTTTAATTGTGACATCAGCAAAGCTCTGCTTACTCTGCTGCCCTGTTTTCACGGGACTGAGAAAGGCTAAGGTACAGTTAGGAGTTCTTTATCCTTGGAATGCCATTCTGGGGACTTCCTCCCTAGACCCTGTCTCCAATTTTGCCACCTTTCTCCACATGACCCTGGCAGATTCAGCTTCCTTGTAATACTTTCTTCTCTCCCTGCTGCCTAAATGAGCAGATGTACATTGTACAAGCTATCCATTTAGTGTAGACTGTCCTTTGCTCATTTTAATTCCATCCATCTTTATTTTTCCCATTAGATATTGCATCCTCCATGATTGCTTATTATCTTATAAGGTGTCCTGTATTTTTCTTATATTCCAGTTTTACTATTTATTGACACACACAGGACCCCATTCTGAAGGTAATCTCATTGTATTCCTAGTCTTCTGCGGATCTGTATTTTGGAGGTATCATTGATTGCCCTTTGGTGGTGGAAGGGGATATTTTTGTTTACCTCAGTAACAGAGATAAAAGAACTTCCTTACACTTCAATCATCTGTATTTTTCTTCCTATTTTAGACTAAATACTATTTTCTTCCTTTCCTCCCATTCTGTCCCTCTCCCTTTCAGGAGATAGCTTTAAGGGAAAAGATTTCAGTTAGACTTAACTGTCAGATATGTGATAGCAGTTTAGTAGAAGGAGGGTGGGAGATTAAGCATGGTAACTCAAAGGAACAGAGTCAAGGTTAGGTGTTGGTGTTGGGATTAGGGTTTCAGGAAGTTGAGCATAAAATTTGCAGGATGCTACTTCTGGAATGTTCTCCCTGCTGACTCTGCAGATACTTCCCCAGCATCCCATGGGCCATTGCAGAAGAAACAATGGTGAAACTGCTGTCACTGGCCTCAAGGTGGCACTGTGAGGCCACTGACATCAAAGGGGCTCTGGGGGGAGTCTGGGAGAGCAGCCAAGGAAGGGAAAGGGTTAAGAAAAACTTAGGCATGGATCCAACATCAGGCAGATGTGGAAGAAATTTTCAGTTATTGCTAGGCTACCTACAGCTATGGAAGATGTGGGAGGTCCCTCTAAACTGTAATGTGCTCCACAGTTGAAGGATTTGGGCAAGGCAGCTTGATGCCAGGGGCAGGTGCAGACAGAGGAGAAATTGTCTCAGTGGCATATGGGAAACCAAGGGGGTGGGGTGCACCGTAAACGCAGTGCACCACAGCCACACCCCATCTCCCCTGCAGGCCTTGCTAAGCAATGTCTAGGAGAGGAGTAGCTGACCCCGCCTGAGCTGAGTCAGTAGGGACCCTGGGCCAGGCAGTCTGCAGGGGTGGGAGACAGTGACATCCCAGGGAGACTCAATTTTCTATTGGAGAAGGGCTTCCAAGCTTCCTCTCTTGGTCTTGTAGATGAGAGCATTTAGCTGGGACAGCCCCCTTCTCGCCCTGCCTCTGCCATGAGCCTCACTATCTTTTGTGTGACTCTTTGTCTCCTGGGAGAAGGTGAGTTCTGGACTTGGCTGAAAATCTGTGCCAAGGTTTTGCAAAGTCCCAGCTTTGCCTTTACCCTCTGTCTGACTCTCCAACAGGCCCCATGGATGCTGCAATCACCCAGATGCCAAGATACCATATTATACAAACAGGAACCAAGATGACCCTGGAATGTTCCCAGGATATGAACCATTTTGCAATGTTCTGGTATCGACAAGACCCAGGACATGGGCTGAGGCTGATCCATTATTCAAGTGGTACCACAAGCACTGTCAAAGGGGATGTCGCAGAAGGGTACAGTGTCTCCCGAAACAAGCAGGAGCATTTCCCCCTGACCCTGGAGTCTTCCAGCACCAACCAGACCTTTCTGTACCTCTGTGCCAGCAGTGAATCCACAATGCTGCTCAGCCACCTGCACAAAAAGCTCAACCACAAGCCTGGAAGATACTCCTTCCTGAGATCCTGCCTCATAATGGGGAAAAAACTGCCCTTACTGAGGTTTTCACCTGACTTCCTAGCACTGGGATCTCAGGCTGGGGGGGCGGGTGTGGGGGGGAGCCTTGAGCAGGATGACCCTCAGTGTGAACTGTGCTCCATCATTGTGCGAGGGGGTGTGAAAGTAGATGCAAAGAGCACCTAATGTGATTCCATGCAATCTGGAATATTCTGGTAATTGATAAAGCAGAGGATCAAGTAGCAACTAACATGAAATTTATATTTCACTTTCTTTTCAGTGGAAAGGAACAAAGCAGATTTAAACTCCTTGAATGGTCTAGGATTCTCCAGATCTAAAATGATTACAGAAAGTTGCCGTAGGATCAAAACCATTGCAGACCCTGCAAAAACTCTCTGGAGGAAAAAAAAAAAACCAAAACTCTTAATAACAAGTTGTAAAACACACAAGTAAACAAGCCACTTAGGGGAAATGTTAGTATATGCATTAAACAGCCGCATTATAGTCAAAGAGACTACCAACTAAGTCTCTGCCTGTGGTTGTAGGGCAGTGGTTTGAGTCTTCTGAGGCTTGGGAGGGTGGATGAAGGAAGGCACCAATTTCCTACCATCCCTTTGGCTTGGTGTGAAATCCATGAACTCCTCGGTTTTTTCCTTGTAAAACATTACAAAATGATATTGGGTAATAATTTTATTCTCCCCACAGCCTATCTCCCTCCTTGGCTCCTTATAGGTAGAAGTCCAAACCCAAAAGCAACGCTGCCTAGCTTGGGATCCATTAACTCCAAGACTGGGTATGCATAGTTGGGTTTTACAGGAAGTGCAAACCCCATGAGCCGCACACCCCATGCAGTCACGCACTGCCCTTGTATACCCCTGAGCCTGCGAGGGTGCTGCTGGCTCACCCAGGACCTGCTTGCAGAGAGGGGTGCAGGCTGCTTGCCTGGCAAAAAAAAATCAATTCATGGATTGGCCAATCTGCTGAAAGCTTAATGAGATGCTGAATGGTGAGACTGATAAATGACCAATTTGCTAAATCATGCAGTTTACAGCAGTTCACGATTCATAGAATAATCTCTAAATCACTGGAGGATTTTTTTTTTTTGAAGTTATCGACCCTCAAAAACGCAGCCATTGATCCTCAGTTATTTCTTAGCAAACTTGTTAGTCTAGCTTATTTTGATGCTAAATTTGGATGCTATATGTTTCAGTCTCCAGGAATGCCTCACATTTCTATTTCATGTATGTGAGTGTCCTGTCTTCTCTTATTTGTGTGTGATTCATTTTCCAATTGGACTATGTGGAATGCAAGCATAAAACTATGTATGTCTCCCATCTTTTAGGAAATTCACTTATTTATGGTTAAGTAATAGCTTATTAAAGTATAATTAATAGAGAGTAAAAAAACTCAAATTAATACCTGATACATGTACAGCTTGGTAAATTTTGACGAATGTCTACACCGGTGCAACCATGACCAAAATCAAGATAAAAGAACGTTTCCATCACCCAAGAAAGTTTCCTCTTGTGCATTTCTAGTCAATTTCTTTCCCAGAGCTAACCACTTTTCTGATTTTTATCACCATAGTTTTGTTTATACTTGAATTTCTTGGGAAAGAATTTCAATCTAAAATGGAACCAGGAGGATATAAAATGGAAAATCTCGTGCACGTGCCCTCAGAAAAACAAAACATAAGGACTGAGAGACTGATTTCCCATAAATGCCTGAGTTATAGAAAACTGACAATGTTGGGATTTTCTTAAATAATAGGGAGTTGGTCAGGGGTTACCTCATATTGCCCTCAGGAAATTTTTGCTTACGATTTCCAGAGGCATAAACAAGAAAGGACCCAGGTCATGTGGGTCTTGCAAAATAAGCTGAATTAAGCTTCGTTTGTCTGACTGGATGGAATTTGTATTTTCAAAGCTGGTTTCCTTTTGTATTTGATTTTAACAGACCTAACTGATCTCTCTCCTGTCTCCATCCCCTGCCCATGGGAACAGCCCACCCCAAACCCTCAATGGGCTCTCCTGGAGTGTGCTACAGTCTGCATGTCCTGAAGTGGGCTTCCTCTACTATTTCCAAAAACTCATCTTTTTGATAGTTCTGAGCTTGACATTCATATAAATGGAACCATCTGGTCAATGCTCTTGTTCAATTGACTTCTTTTTCTCTAAAATTAACATTTTTGAAATGTACTCATTTTGTGGGTTTATAGGTAGTTTATTCTTTCTTATTACTGTGTGGTATTCCACTGCATAAATATAGCAGGATTTGTTTATCCATTCACCTATGGATGGATATCAGGGGTTGTACCAGGCTTCAACCATTAGGGATAAAGCTTCTCTGAACATTCTTGCACGAGTAATTGTGGCTAAATGCATTTATTTCCCTCGGGTGTAGGCAGAAAAGGGAAATTGCTGATTCATAGGGTAGATGCACGTTTGACTTCATTAGGAACAGTTGAACAGTTTTTCAGAGTGGCCAATTTACACTCCTGAGGGTGGGGGGTCCCCCTGGCTCCCCATTCTCACCAACGTTTGATGATCTCTTTTTGTTGTTAGCCACTCTGTGGGCGGTGTGGTGGGATTTTGTTTGCATTTCACCATTGAGTGATGCTGTTTGCTTTTTGGCCATTTCTATCTTCCCGTCTTCTCTTATAAAGTGCCTGCTTTTATACTTGTTCATTTTTAAGAAAATGGGTTGTCTTTATACCATTGATTTGTAGGACATATTTTTATGCTCTAGAGAGGAGTCTTTGGACCATTAAATATGCTGAGTCTGTCTTCCCACGGTGGTTTGCCCATGAGCTTTCCTTATGTTGCCTTTGGATGAGCTGAAATTTTATGTTTGTGAAGTCTCATTTATCATTTTTCTCTTTAACTTCTCGAGCCTTTTGCCTCCTGTCTAAAGCACATTTGCCCACCCCCAAGATGAGTCTTTCCTTTCCAGTTCTTGCTCTGCTCTCCTGTCACTGCCCCACTCCTTGCTCTTGGTCATCAGCTGAAAATGCTCCACCTCCAAAATCACAAATTAATCATCCCACTATCTGCCCAAAGTTTCCTACCCCACCACCTGCTCCTTGACCTTATTGGGATCTCCTATCCATTGGTAACTGTTCTTTCTTCTTATTCCCTAGGGTTCTTCTAAATTTTCATTACCTCAAACTAGGGTAGATTCAGTGATTTTACATTCTTTTGACATAACCTTACAAACCATCTTCATTCTTTCACCATGATCTTAGGTCGCCCTTACACCGCAGAAATCAAGCCAGAGGGATTGCATTGATGTCTCTTGTTCACGGCAACAGCTGAGCACTAGCTGAATGAGCCACACCCCTGCACCAACTAGTATCATGATAAATTGGTGGTTACTAACCTTACCTGCCTTTACATCCTGGCTTTGAGATTCCAGTGCCCTTGATAGCTTTCAAATATTACATTATTTCTAATATGTAAAACTTTTCTCACTCACCTTAAAATTTGCCAGCTTCCCTTCTTGCCACGGAAAGGAGATCGTTGCAGCCGAGGGCAGTGCCCAGTGAGGGGCATGACCGCTGGGGGGGAGGTCAGAGTGAAGGTCCCGAAGAGGGATCTGCACGGAAGGAACATCATGTTGCCCACCACGGAGGTAAGGACACTGCCCTGCCTTGAACTTCACTAGGTGACAGGAGGTAAGGAGTATAGTCATTCTTCTCTGCATCTTCTTTGGATTCATTGTCCCCAAATCACACTGTTTATTTTCACATTTGTATTTCTCTACACTTCTGCTGACTATCTCAGCAATGCTAATTGCAGACTGTTAGGGCTTTTGTTACTGCTAATTGCAGAATGTTAGAACTTCTGTTACTGCTAATTGCAGAATGTTTGGGCTTTTGTTCCTTTTTTTAAGCCAAAATACAGTCTCCGAGCCTCATTTTCCCTTGCTATGTCTAGGAGTACACAGGTGTGGCAGGGGAAGGGAAGCCCGGAGGCAGGGAAGGGAAGAAGCATCCTACGGCTGGCATAAGCGGGTGGCTCTTATTCCCTGAGCCAACTGGCCTGAGAGGATGATAAGTGTGGGTCCCTAGGCACTCGGGTGCTGTGGCTAAGGGACACTGCAGCCTGTTGGTGCTGTGGCCTTGGGCAGGGAAAAGTAGGGACTATGAAACATAGCCCGGAGAAGGGGGCTGAGGAAATAGATCTTGGCAAACCAGGACAGTTGGTGACCCTGCCTCCTCGCTCCTGCCATTTCTCCCACGAGCTACACTCAGCTGCAAGGTAGAGGAGAAAGGACCCCAGTTAATATCATCCACAGAGGTTAGCCTCTCAGGACAGGGTGGATCTGGAGGGCTAGACATAAACTATCCAGAACATTATGCCTGGACTGGGATTGAGGGCGGGAAATCCTGAGTCAGCTAAGCCTGTGCTGTAAGCCAGTAAAGTCCTGGAATTGTTTCTGGAGAATCTGCACTCCTAGTAATTTATGCACAACCCAGGCCCCTTAGGATCTGATCAGATGGACTGAATCTTGGTGACTCTGCAGCAACAGCCACTTAGGACAGGGGCTGGGTATGCTGCTAGGGAAAGGAAAATGCAATGACAAAGCTTTGTGTGAACCTAGCATCCAGGAGGTGACTGGAGGACACGCAGGCAGAGAAGGAACAGGGTTTACTCACAGACCCTCTCCCCAGCTGATGCACTGGTGGGCGAGCTCCAGCACAATTAGAGGTGGGATGAGGAGGGCGGGAGGTAAACAGGCATCCTGGGGGGGGGGGGGGGGGGGGTGAGGAAGCTGCAGCAGAGGAGGCCGGCCTCAAAGACACATCAGTGCAGCTGCATGGGCCTGGACCTGGCCCAAAGCCAGCCCTCCTGCCTGCAGACAGGAGGGGAGTCTGGGGTGCAGGGCAGGGCTGTCTGTGGGGTGATGCCAACAGGGTAGTGCCATCATAGATTAATCTTCCAGCCAGGAAAAGGGGAACCTGAGAACTCAGCTCTTACCCAAGAGGACCAGAACCCTGAATGCAAGAGGCACCGTGCTGCCCACCCCAGCCAGGCCATGGGCACCAGGCTCCTCTGCTGGCTGATGCTCTGTCTCCTGGGAGCAGGTGAGTCCTGCGGGCAAGGACAGCATCGATCTTCTGAGTTTGCTGACTCCTGAATCCTCCACTTTACCATCTGGACAAGCCATTAGGCTCTCTCCCGTGC